GCAAGATATAATTCCCTCGGATTAATACTATCAGCAAAATATACCCAACTTCGTCCATGCGAGCAACTATCCAACATGGTGGCGATACCTCCTAAAACATACATAATACCTTCGCATCCCGGTTGTGGAGCAGTACCACCATTGGGATAAAAATCAACGTGTCCAATCGGAGATCTATACCCCAGAGAACCTGCTGAAGTGTGGATCACATCCACAAAATCAGCCTTATCCGCAGAAAGATGATCATTAACCAGTGGAATAGTTTCAAATAGAGGTCCTGCAGGGTCAAGACCTGAGATACGCGCAATTCTACATCGGGAATACTTTGCAGCAAACCCGGAAATATGAGCTCCCAAACTATGTCCAATCAAATGAATTCTTTGCGGTTGTGCCCCGGAATCAACCAATGCGTCAATTAATCTAGCAGTGTATGCCCCAATGGGTACAGTGTTGAGAGCAGCACTAATGTAGTTTAAAGTCGATGCGGGACCTTTCCAGTCCACAAGAATCACATTCACATCTTGATACGTCAAATATGCATTCTTTATATTCTGAGAAGTGTCCGAATCACCACTGGACCAGAAACCATGGGTCATAAATCGCGTAGCCTTCCTAAAATCAAAAGGTGACGCAGCGATTGACTCAGCAGTCGGTTCCAGAACGTAAGAAACATTTGGATTTGACCTAGGAATAAAATAACACTTTCTATATCTTTCTTTCTCCTTTTTAGTTCAGATTAATACTTGGTGTATAGCAGAAAGGCAACCTGCGATGTGATGTTATCACCGGAAGAAGTTCCCGCACGCATCATCTCCTGCTGGCGGAACTTCTCATATTCAATCTGAATGAATTTATGTACCATGGTGTTGCCATCAAACATATCCATCACTTCCGGCAGGTCGATATTCCTGGCGTGCGCGAGTAACACGACCAGTTGCGACAAGAACACAACTCTGACGACTCTGACTTTCATCGTAAACAGCGTTTTATGAGCGTGGGACAGTTTCATTCCCGGTTTGTATTTATATTTTTGCGTCTCGGGTGCATTTTAAACATTCTCACAACTTTGTAGCCGTTTCCTTATCGCC